CATCGTGAATGTTGTCACTGGTGGGTCGAAGACATTGATAGGAATGGCCTGAAGACTGGCAAGCACGTTTGGCAAAGCGGCCAGAGATTCTTTGAGTATTCCCTACACGTGTTAATTCTCCTGAGCACTGGACAATGCAGTCGTAAACGATAAACAGCAAGCCACCTTGGAAAAAACCAAGCACAAGAAAGGGACTTTCGCCTCTACAGAACTCAGATAAGGTATCTTCCCACACCCGTCCATGCATTCTACAGCACCAAAGCCCATCCTCTCCCGTCCACTCCTGCCGCTTCCGCCTCAACCTGTCCTGGGGCGGAGTCGTCTGCCTTTCCACGGCTCAGTTCTCGTCCCCGGCACCAGAAACGGACCGAAGCCGTTCGATGAACCTACGACCGATTGTTCCTTGGAATTTCTGAGTGTACTTGGATGGACAGCCCTTCCGGGAGCAGAAAGACTGGACTTTGCAGGGTAGGCTGAATTAGGCTGAATTGCTTCAGTGTTTTGTTGACTCTTACCTCATCTCCTGGCCATAATAGAAATGACCTTCGATGTCGGCTTCTCCAGTCCAGCTGTGATGCGCTTTTTCTGGCCATTGAAATGGGATCGAATCCTCTTGCTGTACTATCACGTCGCTTGACAAGGATGGCAATGGCCAAGAAATACTGACCATGCTGTTTGGCCTGCCCGCGACTGTCGTCACGGCGTGTGCTGTCGCGGACAGGCATTGCGCACACTCTTTGTTGGGCCGGGTTCGAGTTGGGCGCTGCGGTTCCAGTAGTTTCTTCGCTCCTTCCTGTATATACTCTTTAGGGAGTTGCGTGCCATTCATGACTGAATGCCAACGTCCTTGTCTGACTACACCAAACAGCTGCCTCGATTAACTTCGCGCACACCAGGTGCGTCACAGGTTCAGTCTCACGGGTGAATCTATGCAGGGCTCCGGCTCATCGCTGGACTTGTCTCTGCCGAACTAACGCGAATTCCTAACTGCAGCTGGAGAGCAGCAGTCCCAAAGAAGTCGCTTGCGGTCACCGGGGCGGGCAATGAAACGAGACACCCAGCCCTGGTAGAGCTCTGCCATGCCCATGGCCTCACACCAGAGAAGGCGGAATCCGCAACCACTCTGCCGTGCAGACACCGTATCTGGACGCAGCTACAAAGAACCGACCTGTATTGGCGGATGCAATTAGGTTACTTAGGTAGTTGGGAAGCTCGAGGTTCCGAGGCCAGCACCGCAGCATTGACCGCTACTGTTGGGCGCAAGCGGAGTGCCGTTGATGTTGTGGACGGTGGAGGAACAAAAGCCACTTGGGGAGTTCTTGTCTTGCCGAGCACTTCCTGAATTGTGCGGCAGCGTAGAGTGAAGAAATACCGCACTTAATGTTCTTGCGGACAGAAACCAGAAATCGAACAGGAGGTGCTGACCAGTCGAAGCAGCTGTAGTCCAAAGGCTTTTCAACTTGAATCCCGCAAAAGACAGGCTCCGATGGAAACCGGTGTCTGCGAGCTCGTCGGAATTGGAGGCCCGTCGTCGAGCCTCATACTCTAGCGGGCTGATCTCCTCCAAAACTTCCACATCCACCAACGGATCAAACCTGGCAAGGGCTATCTAGTGCTCATGGTAGAAGCAGCAATTGAAGGAAGAACTGCTCCTGCCCTGGTTTCTGACGAAGAAAATGAGACAACGTACTCCCACATCACTAAGTCCAGTACAAAGGCGTGCGCAGGAAATCTTTCCAGTTTGGCCAAGACTGCGAGGCGCTATGCGCTCTCACAAGCTCTGCAACAGACTGTAACCGCTGGCGAGATGTACATTCGCGCTTGTGAACGTCTGCAGAGCTGTAGACGTAGAGAGTCGCGCCGTCCAAGATTGACACGTGCTACTCCTAGTGCTTGCATTCTCTGGGAAATCGGCACTGCCTACAGAAGAAGCCAGCCTCACGTCGGCACACATGGATTGCTCATAATGGTAACTACTGTTCGGCTTCGCTGATGGCGCACATTTTGCCAATGCCTGAAGGGCTGCCGGCAAACAGTCGGAATTTCAACGTTCCGTGTCAGGCTTGCTTGTCCGGTTGTACTTTCTGGCAGTCTTTTCGAAATGACCGTCTTTTCGAAAGGAGTGCTCCTAGTTCGCGCATCCGGGAAAGAAGCCCGTCTTGTCGGTTGGGGAAACTTCCACATCATCTTCAACCATATTCAAACCAGGAAGCGTCGGATCGTCTTCGCACTCAGGCTTGTCAGGCTCTTCCGCGATGAAGCTGGCTATCTTTGCTGTTGGCTTGGGCGAGTTACTATCCTGAATGGACGAAGGTGGGGCAGACGAAGTCCACGTGTTGGTCATCGTCGTACCTTGCACATTCTCTCTGAACAACTGCATTCGGAAATCGCAGCCACATGTTGCCACCACGTTGCTGCCGTCTGAATCGCAGGTTCTTCGCATGAGCTTTCGATTTTCAGCTGTGAGCTTGGCAACCGTCGCACGGAGCTCCTGCACACAGCTGTGCCACAAGGCCAAACGAGCAGTCAGCGTAGATCCCCAATGAAAGCGCATGATGACGGCCATGATCCCTTAACACGACGACCTCTACGACCAGGCGACCGCGACAACCAAGAAACCACTACAAGTAAGAGACCATGAAGAAATCCAAGGAACATAGAAAGTGACAACAACATAGCAAGTTCTGACAACATTCTGACGTCAACAAACTAACCAGGAGACCACCAGGATCCACCCGGAGACTCGCAGGATCCTCAGGAGACCCCTTCAGTCCAGCGGAGACGACCTGCTGCCATTCCAAATTTTCGTAGGCCAAAAGGTGGGCCACACATTGTAATCTACAGTAATCTACAACCTACAATGAACCCAGCTCTCGGAGAGACGGTTTTGCATGACGCATCGCACGGATCGCTGAACAATACAGCAGGACGAGAGAACACGATCTTCATCGCGCCACAGTGGGAGCCGCGCCTTTGCGGAACGCTCTTGCGCGCTAGTGTTACTACACTGTTTGGGGACCAAGCCGTGAGTGCTCGAGCACATACGACACGGTCGGCTGGCAGAACGAACCCGGCTGTCCTGCACTTCTAGGTCATATCTGTGGCTGAAACCCTGCAGCGCATCCACGATGTCATTCAGGGATGTTAGTGAGCTTGCGCCCTTGCTGCCCTTGGATTCGTCAGATTCGGGTGCACTGTGACACTGTGAGGGAAGAACCGACATTGCCGCCAGAAAGCTGTTCGTGGCTTTCCTGAGGCCTCCTTGCTGTCGGAGCTCCCGCGTTGAGCGGCATCCATGAATAACCTGTGCAGCAGGTGCCACTTGCAGATTTTGAGTTCTGCGCACCCCCATTGCTTGAAGTGACATGAGTACAGCCTGACGCGAAACCTCCAGCAAAGTGCTCGATAAACGCTAAAGGATACAGTGAAAGCATGGCTGCCTTCGTGGATGGCTGACCAAATGCACTCACGGATTTGTGCTCCCGTGGTTGGGTCTAGCATGGTCTAGCAAATGCTTCGGAAACAGCAGCACCAGCGGGATATCGGTCTTCCAAGTTATAGCAACTGCAATCAGAACAGGTGTCCAGCCTACGATAACCGGGACACTGCGATTTACGGGACCTGTTGCGCAATCAGGTGCTTCATGACCCTAAGCTCTTATCGGCCGTTGCTCGACTCGAGGGTAACAGTCTCCGCTCGTCTTTTTACCCGAGGTTCTGTCAGCATGCGGGTTTCCTCGCGCAAATCCCGGAGCTGACGAAGCAATCTCGCTAGAACATCTTTGGAGCTGTCGGAGACCGAAACCATGGTTTCAGCATCCGGCTGTCGAGGCTCCAGAGCGCTTGCCATCAAGTCCGTCTGCAGTGCATTCTGTGCTTTCTGCAGATTCTGCAGCCTCCGATCGGAGGCTGCCGCCATGGACGCCATGCCTGCAGGGCAGTCTGCAGTGTCTGCTGCAGTGTCTGCAGGCGGCCCTAGTGTCTGAGATGTTCTCGCGGCGACTGCTCTGTGCTCCAGCTCGCGGCACTCCGCACTTTCTGCACTTTGGCTTGGTCCGCACTCCTCGGGGCTGAAACGCCAAGCACTCTGCAGCATGAAGCTCGTTTGCCAACTTGTCTGCCGGGCTGGTGCGCCACACTCAGCACGCCCCAGCCATCCCAGCCCGTCCACACGTGGGCACTCGCCTTGCATGCCTTGCATGCCTTGCATGTTGCAGGGCGCCTGGGCCAGCGCTCCTCTCCTTCCATGTGCGACGTGGCTTAAGCCTTCGCTCGAACGATTCCCCGCTCCCGCCAAGGCTTCCTGCAGCTCACAATGGAAAGTTTCATCGCTTGACACCACGGGATCCATGACAGCGCATGGCAGGCTTGTAATTATACAACTCGGGTCTTCGCCTTTGCCCTCTGTGTGCATTCCCGATATGATGTGCGATTGAAACCGCCATGCGAAAGAACTTCGTTCTTGATGCGATATGTGATGGTGGCACAGCATCTGCTGTTCAGCTGATTTCAGTTGGTGTTAGCGTGGCGGCTGAAGCAGTCGGATTCAGCTGATTGGCATGCGGCATGGTCGAGGCAGGGGCAGCATATGTCAGCATTTCTGCATCTCTGCCCTGATGTGTCCGGTCGGTCCGGTCCTGTGTCCAGCCGGCTTGGCCGAGCTCAGAAACACGGGAAGTCTGTCACATTCTTTCACCATGTCGCTCCGCGAGCCTGTGCTAGCACTGCAGCCAATCTGAGAAGAGAAACTCAGAACCTCCTGCCATGGCCAGTGCCAGTTCTACTGGTTGCTAGTTACTAAAGAGTATGTTCCCAAAAAATGAGGCAATCGGATCTCGGAATTTTTCCGGCACCGTTTCAGATCCTGCAGGTGCACGGGCCAGGTCCCTTGAAAGACTCACACGCATGGGAAGGTGTCCATCACTGAAACGGCTAGAAAGAAAACTATTGGTGTGGAAGTCTTTGCACGAGCTTTCACTGGACCTTGCTGCGCTGCAAAGCTTAAGGCTGAAGGCCAACAAAGCCCTCCACGACTTGCATCACCAGCTCATGTGCTTCCGCACTGTTGCGTCTTGTGCTGCTCGTGCTATCCTGGAGGCAAGCGGTGAATGTTTGACCTAAGGGCGCTACTTGAGCAATGAGGCAACCAGCCAGCCTGCAGTTCATGAACGGTTGAGTGTTCAGACGGCTCCAGAGAGTCGTCGTAAAACTCTGGCGACGACCGAAGGGAGGCCGCGACCGTGTCAGCACTGCTTGGGCAAGTCTCCGTTTCGGCAGCTAAATCGATCTGCCTGGAAGCGTCTTTCACTGTTTAACATCCCCCGACTGACGTCCCAGCAACTCTTTTCAATCTCTTCCAAAGCAATGCGACCAGGGCACACTTCGATCTGGATGGTTTGAGCATCGTCGCCCCAATTACCATTTTCTTGCTGCGCTGCGAGGGGACCCCTGAAGCGGACCACGACTGGGCAAGCTGATTGCTCTTTCGCAATCGTCTCGTAAACCTGCCGTCTGACAAGGTGGATCAGCTTCGTGTGCGGCTTTTCCTGAGACTGCCTGGACGTGTAGGCGGGATGATGCGCGGCACCACTTACAAAACGACCGTCCAGGCCTGAAGTCGGAGTCACTTAGGTCCACGTCCAGAGCTGCCTCAGGGTGGATCGAATGCAATCTTGACGGAAAAGACTGAGTGCCATAACTTCGATGGAAAAAGAGCCTTGGGCGACTCGCAGCCAGAGTTGTTTCCTGGCTTCTGGCTTGGCTTCAGCGCAGGCCGACCGTAGGCAAGGGCCGATCGCTTCAGTTGCTTGGCATAGGAATGAACCCCCGACGGGGACGAAGGTCCGCCGAACCGTACAATCTCCTCGTTGTTCTCCAGGATTTTGCAGACGCTGGGTTTGGAGCTCAATCGGCTGAGACTGATTGCCAAAGTCTGCAGACTGCTGACCACGGCGAAACCTTGCTGCGAGTCCCGCCACCCGGTGGTGGGGGCATCGTACGCTTTCCTGCGTGGGCTACCAGGCTGAAGTCGGTCTGTGTACGCAGCCGTCGCCCGTTTCCGGCCAGGTGTCAAGGGTGGTAGCCTCAGATTCTGTGAGCAGCAAGTTCGAAGTTAAATATAATAAAATATGAGGACCCAGATCGCACCGGTGACATGCCACAGACCCACTGCTTAGCAAGCTGCTCGTCAAGTCTGAGGGTGCCGGCCTTGCGCGGCGATTTGTGAGGATAGGCTTCTCGAACTCCGTGCATGTGGGATGCAGCCAGAATTGCTTCGGATGGCAAGACTCCCTTGAATGCACCCTGCATCCTTGCATTCATCGATGTGGGTGTCCTGGGAATCTGAAGGAGTCAGCTATAAATCTGCCTATCAGCGCCCAGGACATTTCCTAATTAAGCGTTCTGCTAGGACACCCTGGCTGGTGGTGTTTTTTGGGCATGCCGGCCTGTAAAGGCCCGTATCCACAGGTGGCAGCCTTGGGGATGGCATCTGACCAAGCCAACTTCTGCCCAAACGCTGACGTAAATTCTTGGGAGTTGGAGTCGTCGCTTGGTCCTCGCCTCTTCATGAGTAGAGTGTGGCAAAGTCGGCAGCCTAGTCTATGCCCAAGTGCTCACAGCAACCTAGATCGGCCTAGATTTGCTCGATCTCGAGCAGCTGTATTTCACATTCAGCTAGAGGACCACTAAGTGCGGACAGACTAACTAAACTATTGAACTTTGTCCCGCCCGCAGACGTAGACGTAGAGCCTTGTAGTTCTGGAATCTTGTGGAGAGCCGCCATGGCTGCCGACGTCTGGTCTTTGTGGACTGCCTCGGGTGCAGGTTGTTGCAGTTCTGAGGTAAGGATCTGCGGTCCATTCGGTATAACAAACTGCCCCTGAGCTTCCTTGGATCATGAACTGGCAGTGTCAGCATTGTAAAACTGTAAATGGGTGACAAGTCTATGCTCTTCGGGGAGCCATGGGAGCCGCTGGTACTTTGATCGAGGGCGGTGGCCCACATGCCATTTCTTCGTCGCTGGTGCTGTAGTCGGAGTCGTACTCATGGCACACTGACAGCTGCTTGAGTTGTTTCGATGGGTGCTTTCGTGCGAACAGCCTTTCTTTGTGCGCGCGCCGCACCGCATTCCATGTCGACTTCTGCGGCATCCCACACCTTGCCACGACCTGAGCACGACGGTAGAAAACATTTCCAGCATGCTAGGCAGATTTCCCTTCATTGCCATCTTCTTACCGGTCTTACCGTCCGCAGGCAGATTCTTTGAATTCCATCGCTAGTGATTCAACTAACGCGTTTCAAACAACTGTGATCTTGGAAACCTTGGTTCTACAGCATCCCACACGCAAAAGGAGTCACAAGAAGCAATCTCCCATGTCCCTACATCCAGTGGCCAATTGTGCCAAGCCACCCATTTGCCGGCTGCAGTTCCCCTTGCACGCTGCCTTTTAACTAATCATTGTGGCATAACTTGTCTTTTGAGCAAGGCAACGAGACAAACCGATCATTGCAACACCGTGCCGTCGGTTCCACATGTAGAAAATGATGCAGACGCCGGGACAGCACATCCCCAGAAGCATGTCAGGACAATCATGCTGAAGAAACTACTCGGAGTGACTGTGGTGCTGCATGCTGTGAGCTGCCGAACCCTGGCTGAAACAACGAGAAGATTTTGCGCGTTGCAGGTGGCGTCATGCGACAATCTTACGATTGTCGCTCACATCATTCGCGCACGCTCTCAGAGGTGCACGCCATAGTGGTGAGGCCTCGCATGGAGACTGCAGCTGTTTCTGCCTGCGCAGGTACCTTGCTCACATCGTCTCCACAATTCTTTCAGGAAGAAGCCGTCTGTACTGGAGCGCATCGCTGCGCTCTTTCCCGGTGATACCCTGCGATGCGAGTCTGCGAGCATCGTACGAGCACTTCTTGTCCCTGGGTGCTCCAAACACGCACTTGGAGCGCACCATGCGAGATGCGCTCTTCCAGAGCTGGTCCTCGCAGAAGCGTGACCTTGGATTATGCTTCCAGCGAGCGCATCTACTGCTCAGCAGTCGGTTCCACCTTGGGCCTGAGCTGTGGTGGCTTGCTCGCCGCATTGAAATTGTGAGCACTGACATAGGTCACCGACTTGCTGCTCGCCTTGCCACATGGGGAGTCGACCGGCAAGTGCAGTGCCCAGAGTTCAGAGTCCAGTCGAAGACGCAGGCGGATTTGTTTAGCATGGGTGTGCATGGCTTCAGCAGAGGTCCCGGCCGCAGCTAGGGACTTGATGGTGCCTTCATGTCGCCATGGTGCCTTTGGCAGTGATCCGCTCCTGAATGGTGTGAGGAAAGTTCAAGGCACTTGTGTGATTTGTGCGTGGGGTTCGCCATGCATGGGTGACTCTGGGAATCTGACATGCAGGATCGCTTGGCACCAGTACCGGCTTCTGGGTCCCGCTTTATGTGTGCCCCGGTGAAGACCTCACGAAGAATTGCCAGCTAGACAATAGAATTGTCAAGAACCTTCAAAATGTTGATACCCTCTCGGTTCTTGGATAGTCCGCACGACATATTGTGCTGGCAGGCGCAATCTGTGCCGGGCCCCATGCATCGAGCGGGGCCGTGTCATCGTTTTCCCGCAAGCGGGCATGCCACTCCTGCTCAAAATGGACAGCGATACTCTGCGATCGTCCCTCTAGCACTTGCAGTAGCCGCCAGCAAAGATGTTTGGATGCTGTCCGCGTCAGGGCGACCCAGCTCATGGAAAGGCTCCATGGTTCGCATGCTTTCCGGAAGCCGGCCCTCAGCGCTTGGCATAGCTTATGCTCGCTTTAGCAAGGCTTGTGAGGACAGGCGAACTTTTTGTGTCTTCCTCAGAGCTGGGCATCTACGCGGCCTCGCATAGGATACCTTCCAAGCTGCTCTAAAATTAGGTATTCTAGATCCACAGTTAAGGAAACTTTCGCCAAAGCTGAGATGCTGGCGATGGAGCATCCTTCAGAACCCGTTCACTTCGGTCCAGATCGGTCACCTGTAAGAAAAATCAATACGCGATCGTCAGCAGGTCGCAGGAAGTCAGAAGCTCGCTTGCGCACATGCAAGAAGGTGGTTGCAGTATTGAACAAGCATCCATCTGCGGCTGCCACCCCCGTTCTGCTGATTCCTTGTGTGAAAGTCTTCCTCAGTGATACTGCGCATTTCACTGGCCGGACGGAGCAACATCGTAGAGTCAGCTTCCAGGAGCAATTCGATCCTTGGCTCTGTGCATTTCGTGGTGGAAACGGATCTTTGAAGCGGCGGCCTGCAGCATCGGACCGGAGGCACTGGAATAAACCTGCAACATTCAGCCTCCATTTCCTTGATATTGTGTTCCAGGTACTGCTCCTTCGGATTCGGGAAGCAGCAGCGCACTCATGCGCACAGTTTGCGTGTCGAAGCTCCTGACGATCTTCGTCAGGTCGGCGGCCGTGGTAGTGGACGCTCTCGTAGAGAGACCTGGTGCTGTAACATGTGGCTGTCCCCAAGTACGTTGCTAGCACCCAGCCAAGGTTAGAGCTTGGGTCCGAAGTCATGCTCTTGTCCCATAAGCATGTGCTGAGGATCAAAGGGCGTGGAGGTGTAGCGCCGGTTGTGTGGAACCTTCAGAATGAAAGGCTGCGACCCGACGAGGTGACGCAGCCGCAGCCTTCCCCGGCTCGAAAGTCTCCACCACAGCGACGGGCCGCGTCCTCTCTTCGCCCAAATCCTCTGAGAGATGGGAACGGATGGAGTTGGAGGTCGTGGGCTGTCCCCCCTCTGTGCAGGCTGAGCTGTGTGCAACGCGGAACCACTCACCCTCTTCGAAGGGCTGACGAGGCAGTGTCAATCATGCTGCGGGAATAGCAGGTGCTGCAGCTCATCGTCTGCGGCAACTCTTACCAGGAACAGCGGAAAGGCTGCCCTTCGCCTCGTGCAGCAACTCCACGGTGGATTGATCTGAGACAGAGCTGGTAGCTGACAAGCTAAATCAAGCAAATCAGGGTCTCCAGTTTTGCCAAGATACCCAAATCACGAGGCGGCTTTCGAAAAGCTTCGCGCTCCCGGGCTTGAACAATGCGAAAAACCTGCACCCGTAATCACCAGTATCTTCTAGACTGCGCTCGCATGGAAGGGGGAGAGTTTGTCTGCCTCCCTGTCGTCTCCTTCCAATCGCGCATAGGTGTCGTTCGGGCGCGGTGGCGGAGGCTTTGGCACCTCTTCTTCGCCAGGTTCCATCAAGACGATGCATTCTCACATGCTATGTGGGCCTTTCTGGTATGAATGTGGCCTTGCTCAGGTCCCTGCCCCAGGTGGTGCAGCGCCAGCGAACTCGAAGTTCTGGGACATGTACGTGGGATCTGGGCCGAGGGGCAACTTTGAAGCGCACGCTTCCCCAGACGACAGCGAGTTCACAGACTTGTGCTGCGGCAACATATCGGGGACTGTGAGCGCCGTCGTCGTTAGCACTAAACTGAGTCTTCAGCTGTACGTCCAGACCTTCTCAGATTCGTGGCCGGCCATGTGCTTTCGGAGCCATTCCTGGCTCCGGAAACATCTTGGCATGTGCGGCCAGTCCGGAAGGATGTGGAGATACCGCTAGAATGCATGCCGCAACCTTCTGCAGCTCTGCGCTGTTCAGCTTCTGGCTGGAGTACAGATAAACCTGCAATCTCGAAGTTCGGAATGTCAAACGTGTTCTTTTGCTTCTGCACCGCCGAACGAGTCGCTGGGCATGGTAACTTTTTGCCTCTCAATCGATACGCAACAGGTTAGTATGCCCATTGCTGCATCCAAGCTCGCCTTCCCTTACAAACATACCTTGTGCCTTGCCCTGTACTTGACCTGTAAACCCAATCGTTCATCGGTCTTCTGAAATGCTTCCCAATACAATAGGTACTCGCGGGATTCGTGCAAGCGCTACAGCCGGGATGCCTGACCATCGAGGAAAGGAGTTTCCCGTTCGCGCTTCTTCCCCAAAAGGTCCTGGGCTGGACAGGCGGGTAGGCACCTTCCAAAATCCATCAAGCCTGTTTTGCCGAAGGCTTCGAAAAGGCCTATATGCTACAGATGTCGAAGCATCCAGGACCCAAGCATTCCGGCGAACATTTTGCTCCGACTGCACCCGCACCTGTCCCAGCGGTAGCATGGTAAGTCAGAGCGTCTGCATGAACTTCTCACAACACTACGAGGCAAGCGCCAGCGTCTTGTTCGTCTTCTGAAAGTTTTGCACTGAAGCCTTTGGGAGCGGATTCCCAGATCTTTACAGGCATGCTTTACTGCAGAAGTCTCTAGCCTCGTGTGTTTGTTCCGCACATGCAAAGCAAAGGAGAATCGAAGCATGGAAAGCCTGCCGTCAATGCCTGCACAACTGAGGCAAGCTCGCTCTTGCGCAATTCCGCGTGCTCCTCGTAGTGTGCATTCCTCAGGAAAACTCAGCAGAGGAGCAACATCGCTCAGCGACGACACAACCGAGAAGTTCTCACACCGCGGGGATTTTCTGCTTGCACAGCGGTGTCACCTCACTAGATTCTTGTCTGGCCTTTGCCGAACTAGGCTCTGAACGTGAATTAAAGCTCTCCAACCTAATCTAAACTCATCATGTCCAAGGTGTCCACCTTGACGTTTATCGGCTCCCCTAGCTCTTTGACTGGAGATGGAGACAGCATTGTCCGTATCAAAGCATTGCAACCAGAGCAGAAACCCAACGTAAGTCTCCGCAGCGCCTCTGCACAAGATGCGCAGTATGGACCGTGCTTGCAGTCTGGAGAGCCGAAGATGCTTCTGGCAGCAACTTCTGCATAGATGTCCTCACCCGGCAAGCCACATCTGAGACATCTCGGACCTTGCGCAGCCAGCTGTGACGGAGGATACGGAGTATCGCGTGGCCTGTCCGGATGTGTTGGTACGCTCTGGGTACAAACCGCTGAGCCATTGCTTGGAGCTTTTCCGCATCCATCTTCTTGGCGGTGCCGGCTCAGATCCTGCCGGGAGGGGAGGGAGCCAGACTGAGCGAGGCGATATGAACCCTTGTATACAAACTTGGAAATACTTCATTGGGGGTCTCGGGTATCCTGCTTTTGGCACCTAGTGCCGCAGTAGTACACCTGTTTGCATGAGGTGCAGCGCTTGAGCCGTTCCGTTGTTCCACACGT